CCCCCCCCCCCCCCCCCCCTTCGCAAAAAAAAAGAAAGAAAAAGATTAAACCATCCACAGTACAGATGTAGCCTACTGCACCCAAGATTTTGAAATGTATTAACAGACACACGCGTACACACTCCCTCTCACACAAAGTTCGTATACCCTTACTTACACATATACATGATGTACATGTACACCGATTTCCCCTCCTCTCTCCCCGCCCACCCCCACACTCACCACACACTCTATCTCTATGATGTCTCCCCCACAGTGATGTTTGAACTCATCTCACTCGTCATCTTCCCCATCAAGTTTCTGGACGAGATTCAGAACAGGGACGAGGCACAGTGGCGGTAAGTTGTGAGGGGGCGGGGAAGTTTTGTTGTGGGTTTTTTTCTCGTTTTTTTCTGGGGGAGAGAGACAGACAGACAGACAGACAGACAGACAGACAGACAGACAGACAGACAGACAGAGAGAGAATAGAGAGAATGTGATATTGTGCCACGGGACATTTAACAATAACCTATGGTAATCTGCAGTACCACCCCCTCGACGAAACCGACACGATGCTACGATACCAGAATAGATGAAAGCGACTATTGGGCTGGTATCGGTGTCGACGTCTCTGTCGGTGTCGGCGTCGCTATCGGTGTCGTTTCGTATATTTGTACATACATGATGTCTCCTGAGTAAAACGAACATGACGGTCCCTTGATGTTGGAGAAAGAGACTGTTGTTGCGGTAGGGAAATATTCCCACGAGATTTGGGTGGTTTGTTCTGGGTGTGTATGTGGGAGGGGGGTGAAGCATAAATTAACCCTTACATACAGTTGTAGTGGTAAGTCGTTTGTTAGTGTCTATAGATATATGTGAGTGGGGTAAGTGTAAATTTATCCTCTATAAATGTGTAATTTCCACTGTCCACAGTTTTGGCTGGGCCTATGTGATCGGCTGGGCGGCCGCTGTGTGTGAATTCGCGGCCGGCCTGTTCCTGTTGCTGGACAGAGGAGCGGAGGAGATTCTGTACAGGGAAAGGGTGTTGCATGAGGAGAATAAGAACGGGATAGA